GCTTGTTTGGCATGCTGTCCTGAGCTTGTAAGATCCTCGAGCCCGGGGCTCCCTCCTGTTTGCAAGGTGGCAAGAGGGGAGTTTGAGCTCAGGTAGATCTCGAGAACACCCTTTCCCCCCTCCCTGCTGCTTAGCGATTGCTATGAGGGTAAGCTGCTGGTGGAATTGATTATGGTGCTGATTTGGTTTAGTCAATTTACTTATGTCTCATGTTTTGGACTGTAGGAGGAAACCGGAGGACTCAGGGAAAACCCGTGTGAGCATAGGGAGTACATAAATTCCACACAGAAATGACAACTGGCTGGGTAGAGGACCCGAACCGGAGGCATTCTTGCTGTGAGGCGTGAAAGTACCCTAAATCATTATATGCAGTATTTACACCTGCTGCTTTTTATTGTGGTACAGCCGCACTCAATCTCAGATTTCAGCTTATATTCGTTTTTAAGAAGGAGGAAGAAATGCAGTGAAGGTAATAATACTCTTGTGCAAATGCTTCAGTTTTAATTTATTTATTTATTTATTTATTTATTTATTTATTTATTTATTTATTTATTTATTTATTATCCATGTTCCAGATAGGTTAAATATACAATTGAAGGTAGAGCTGCACAATATATTGTTTCAGCATCAACGTCTCAATGTGATCATCCGCAATAGCCACATCACATATACCCAATATTGAGTCTGGATTATAATTATATAACATAATAAAATACATATTATAATATTTTTCCAGTGATGGGTTGCATCTGGAAAGGCATCTGTTGCTTTAAACATATGCTGGATAAGTTGGCAGTTCATTCTGCTGTGGCAACCCAATATTAATAAAGGGACTAAGCTAAAAAGAAAATAAATGAAAGAATAAATTGATTAAAATTTTTATTTTTATTCATTATGAAATAAATGTAATTTCTCTCCAATACAGTCATGTTAAAGTGAAAGATTTTTTCTCAGCCAATTTTGCTTGCATTTACCAAGGGTGCCAATAATTTTGACCACAATTGTAGCTGACTTCACTATTAGTACTTTAGTAATAGTCAACCGTGCTAATATTTTTAGCTATGACTCTCTGCTAATAATTGGCTATTTTGTCTGAACATCAAAACACTAATGATAAAAACACAAGTTGTGGAAATCACTCAATCTATGTAAATGTACTGCGGAAAAATGTCAAGAAATGTCACTTTTAATACTATTTTATAGTTTAATTACCCTATTAACTTACATGTTATGAAGAATTTGTTCTTATATTAAGAGGAGAACATGCATACTCTTTTGGTTATATAATTTAAAGGGTATTTTTAATGTATTGCTTTTACAAACTTATAGAGCATGTTGATTCTCTCCTTGATTTGTTTAACTCTAAAATTGAGAATGTCATAAATGAAATTGCTCCTGTTAAACTCAGGAAGAGAACTGGCAAAGAGAGAGTCCCTTGGAGAAACTCAAGAGCAGTCCAAATGAAGAAAAGACAATGCAGAAAAGCTGAGCGAATGTGGAGAAAGACGAAACTAGTAATCCATTATAATGTCTATAAAGACAGTCTTCATGCTTTTAATGTGGAACTAAAAACTGCTAGGCAGACTTTCTTTTCAAACCTTATAAACAACAATGTAAATAATGCTCGTACACTCTTTGCAACAGTAGAGAGACTCACAAGGCTCGATTCTGGCACCTCTCCTGTTCAACCTTTACATGCTCCCTCTAAGCCAAATAATGAGAAAGAATCAAATTTCCTACCACAGCTATGCTGATGACACTCAGATCTACCTAGCCTTAGTGCCTAATGACTACAGCCCCATTGACACCCTCTGCCAATGCATTGATGAAATGGAGAGTGGATTACTGTAATGGACTCCTCACTGGTCTTCCTAAAAAGACAGTCAGACACTTGCAGCTCATCCAGAATGCTGCAGCCAGAATTCTGACCAGAAGCAGGAAATCAGAGCCCATCACACCTGTCCTCAGGTCTTTACACTGGCTCCCAGTTACATTCAGAATAGATTTTAAAGTATTATTACTGGTCTATAAATCACTAAATGGCCAAGGACCTCAATACATTACAGATATGCTCACTGAATACAAACCTAACAGATCACTCAGATCTTTAGGATCTTATAAACTAGAAATTCCAAGGGTTCAGTCAAAGCAGGGTGAATCTGCCTTCAGCCACTATGCTCCTCACTGCTGGAATCAACTTCCATAAATGATCAGATGTGCTCCAACATTAGGCACATTCAAATCAAGACTGAAAACACATCTGTTTAGCTGTGCCTTCACTGAATGAGCACTGTGCTGCGTCCGACAGATCGCACTATTATGTTTTTCGTTTTCTTTTTCATTCTTTTATAACTTATTTTAACTCATTTTAATTAGTTTTTATCTGTTTTTAATAATTTTTATTGTCTGCATTTTATGTTCCTAAACTTGTCTTTTTTATTCCTGTTTATGTAAAGCACTTTAAATTGCCACTGTGTATGAAATGTGCTATATAAATAAACTTGCCTTGCCTTGCCTATTTTGCTTTCAAACTATTTTTTCAGTTGAGTTTTAGCGATCTTCATGTTTACAGTTGTGCTCCCTTCGCAGTGCACTTTGAAAACATTGATATCATTTTGAGCACAGCCTCGTGGTGAAAGATATAGGTGACCGATTTAAAAGCGGAATTTATGTTACGTCTCCAAAGCTTGTGAAAACAAAAAGCATACTGTAACGCTTTTATTTATATTGGGTTATTTATTAAGTATCTGAACTGTATATGGCATGGGCCTGCTGGTCAGAACTTACTGCTGTGGTTTACAAGTCAAATTGTAAAAGTATACTTTTCAAAATAAATAATAAATAAATAAACAATATCCTACTTAATAATAATAATAATAATAATCATTAATATTATTATAAAAGTATGATTTTTTATTTCTAATCAATAATAAATATTACAATTGATTTCTTAAAAGCCTTGTTGTTTATTTATATGATTTATATGATATTAGAATATGTGTTAGCTTTTGTAAGTGATATGTTTTAGAATAGGTGAAGTTTATAAACCCAGGCGAACAGAGGGAGAACATGCAAACTCTACACAGAAACGCCAACTGACCCAGCCAGGACTGGAACCAGCGACCTTCTTGCTGTGAGGCAATTGTGCTACCCACTGCGTTTCACCCACAGTCCAAAGACATGCGGTACAGGTGAATTAGAGATTAAATTGTCCGTAGTGTATGAGTGTGTGTGTGAATGAGTGTGTGTGGATGTTTCCCAGACATGGGTTGCGGCTGGAAGGGCATCCGCTGTGTAAAAGCGTGCTGAAAAAGTTGGCGGTTCATTTCGCTGTGGTGACCCCAGATTAATAAAGGGACTAAGCCGAAAAGAAAATGAATGAATGAATGTTGCTGTGTTATGTGGGTAACTGTTGTTGACTTGTTGCACCAGTTTCTTTTAGTTTTTTCCCCACTGTGAACTGATTGGATGTAGTAAAGTAGGCGTTTCATTCAGAAAGATCAGGAAAACCATTTGAGGAGAGTTATCACAACCTAACAGACTCCTCCTCCTCACCATTTTCGTTTGTTGACTGACAGCTGGGGGCGTGGTTAAGTATCTTTGCCACGCCCAATTCCTCAGTCAGACCTGGGGTCCGTTCTTCGTACCTCGCTTAAATGATCTAAGATGATTTGGCAGATCCTGGATCTTTTAATCTTGATAACTGATCTCTCGCTAATTTGGTTCTTCAAACAAGTTCGCGAATCAGATTAGAATGTCTGGATAAACTGATCTGAGATCGCTGCGTGTGTTGTGAAGGACAGATCTATCGATCCTCGAAATCATGATCAGCAATGCAACGATTGGCTGACGGCACAGCAGCGTAATGACATCATCTGATTAATATTCAATTATCCATGTGAGCAAAATTACATCAAATTAGCAGTAAACGGCTTGTTAAATGTGACACGCAAGAACTTTCCACATTTGTTGTGAGCTGCAGGCTTTACACTTTCATTTGTCAAGACAAGAGTATTTATCATGCATTTCAATGCAAATAAATGTATTTAGTTCTACGTTTAGAAAAGATTTTCTTTATAATAGTAGCCGTTTTTTAATCGGTGTAAAGAATAACTGGTTGTTTACAAAAACATTTTCATATTGGTAAAGGGGTCTGCAACTTTTGTGAAGCATCAAATCACCGGCATATTAACTATCAAAACATGTTTATGACTGCATAAATGTATTATTGCTTTAAAAAAAAAAGTCACATATTCTGCATTTCTATTATACACTATTTGTACTAAAGCGATCTAAAAAGTTCATATCAATAAGTTTTCTCTTTGCACCAGGTGACAGTCTTTGTACTTTCATTTCGAGGGTGCAGATTGCATACGTTTTAATAATATGTATAACTTTATTTATTTTATTAATGACTATAACTGTATATATATATAGTTAAAAAATATGTACCATTTTTCCAAGTGTATATAACTACTACTGTAAGAAAATATCAGAATTCGGAACATACTTTCTGTATTATCTTTGCTTGAACTGAGCCGATCTAATCCTGTTTATATGATTTGAACCTGCTCCCGATCAGGTTTGACCTAGCAGAACTGTTGCTATGACAACAACTCTCGGATCAGCTTTGAAGAACGAAACGATCCTGGATCGTGTCAAATCGTCAATATCCAAATCCAGCTAATTGAGTAATCCACGTACGAAGAACGGACCCCTAATCTGAGAATCAAACTCAAAACAAACAGTGCATTTTTAGATTTCAATTAAAGATTAGAAGGGCAAACCATTGTTTTTTGTTCTTAATGACACACAGAGAGGAATTGTTCACCACTTAATTAGCAATGTGAGCTAACAAAATCAATATGCCTATTTTGATTTCATGTGCTCTTTAAAGTGCAAAATGTTTTAGTGAAGTCCTGCATGTCTCTACAAGCATGAGTAGGTAGGGTCATTCCTGAGTCTGAAGGCTCTTGAATTCTGCTAGTCTGCAACATCTTCTCTCTGACGAGACCTGCTGAACAATGTAAGTTTTTAACTTTTTGTCTTTTAGAAAAGTAATGTATTATATTAATCCATATAAATTAAATGTAGTTAAATATGTTGAACAAAGCAGGGAAAATCGATGTACTAGTCTAGAGACATCATTACGTAGCTGATTTAAAGGGATAAATCTATCGTCATTTACTTTACACACAGGCATAATATGTATAATAAACACACACATATACAAGTTTATTTGAGTTTCTTTCTACCATTAAACACAAAAGAAGATGTTTTAAAGAAGGCTGAAAACCTGTATGCATTGCCTTCCATAGTTTTTGTTTTCCTACTGTGGCAGCCAGTGTGATTTTTAGCTTTCTTGAAAACATCTTCTTTTGTGCTCAACAGAATAAAGAAACTCATGAAGGTTTAAAATGCATAGTCTGCATTTTATTATTTATTTATTTTTAGTCGTCTAATTTTGTTGCAAGGGTTGGCATCATTTGTGTTCGGTCATTGAACTTTACCATCAACAAACATTCACCACTGCCGCACATCTTGATGTTCACATTACAGTTGTTTATTCTGCCGAAGTGCCAGTAAAAACTTGGATTATTGCAAAACAAGACAGAGATTTCACTGCAGCAGAGATGAGAAGTAACAAAGTACAAATACTTTGTTACTTAAGTAGATTTTTCTGGTATCAGTACTTTACTCCACTACTTATTTTTCTGAAAACTTTTTACTTTTACTTCATACATTTTTACACATATCTGTACTTTCTACTTCTTGCATTTTTAATTTAATTCAATTCAATTCAACTGTTTATTGTCATGTGCACAGTAAGGAAACACGTCTCCCTGTACAATGAGATTCTTACTTTGCCGTCCACAGTTTTAAATTGGGCTTGTTACTTTCTTTTTAATGCATTTAGTGGTGCGATCTATATTATTTCTTGTCATTGTGCAATTTGCACGCCTTTTTGATTTAATCAATCTGTTTCTTGTCATCGCGCGCCTGCGTGCTGCAATGCGCAGCTTTTTCAACCTCTGGGGTCCGTTCTTCGTACGTGGATTACTCAGTTAGCTGGATTTGGATATTGACGATTTGACATGATCCAGGATCGTTTCGTTCTTCAAAGCTGATCCGAGACTTGTTGTCATAGCAACAGTTCTGCTAGGTCAGACCTGATCGGGAGCAGGTTCAATTCATATAAACAGGATTAGATCGGCTCAGTGCATGCAAAGATAATAGAGAAAGTATGTTCTGAATTCTGATATTTTCTTACAGTAGTAGTTATACACACTTGGGAAAATAGTAAATATATTTTAACTATATATATAAAGTTATAGTTATTAATAAAATAAATAAAGTTATATATATTAATAAAACTTATGCAATCTGCACCCCCGAAATAAAAGTACAAAGACTGCCACCTGGTGGTGCACAGAGAACACTTAATCATATGAACTTTTTAGATCGCTTTAGTACAAATTGTGTATGATAATAGAAATGCACAATATGTGACTTTTAAAACAATAAATAATACATTAATGCAGTCGTAAACATGTTTTGGCAGTTAATATGCCAGTGATTTGATGCTTCACAAAACTTGCAGACGCCTTTCACAAAATCAAAATGCTATTGTAAACATCCAGTTATTCCATAAAGTGATTAATAAACCGGCTACTATAATAAAGAAATTCTTTTCTAAATGTAGAACTAAATACATTGATATGCATTGAAATACATGATGAATACTCTTCACACAAGTGTAAAGCCTGCAGTTCACAACAAATGAGGAAAGTTATTGCGTGTCATATTTAACAAACAGTTTACTCCTAATTTGATGTAATTTTGCTCACATGGATAATTGAATATTAATCAGATGAGGTCATTACGCTGCTGTGCTGTCAGCCAATCATGGCATTGCTGATCATGATTTCGAGGATCGACAGATCTGTCCTTTACAACACACGCAGCGATCTTAGATCAGTTCATCCAGACATTCTAATCTGATTCGCGAACTTGTTTGAAGAACCAAATTAGAGAGAGGTCAGTTATCAAGATTAAAAGATCCAGCATCTGCCAAATCATCTTAGATCATTTAAGCGAGGTACGAAGAACGGACCCCTGATCACACACCGTAGGCTTGTTTATTAAGCTTCCCATGGTAACGGCAAGAATGAGGAATGTGAATGAGACAGAATCAGCGATGTAAACATGACTAATGTCATGATTATACCAGGTAATAGACTAAGATGCGTTTTGGTTGATTAGATCACAAAAGGTAACCACTGCTGGTATTTTTTTGTATATTTAACAGATATTTTACACTATAACAGTTTGCTAATTACCACTCTCTCAATGTTGATAATGTTAACACTTTCAAAAGTGTTATTTTTAAACACTTTTATAATGGTTCCTATAAAAACTCTGAGGGAGTGTTAATTTTAACTCTAAGGTAGTTAAATCTACTATCTAAAATTTTCAGTGTGGTTAGTAGATTTCCAATGTTCCAATGTTTTAATGCTTCTCGATAAAAAATTATATTTAAACCATATTACAAAAATACCTGTAAGAAAGCAGGTGAAACATACCGTGCACAGAGTTAATGTTAAGCCTGTTAATAATTTCTTCTAAGAATAATTAAAATGAAAGCAGTGACCGCTGCTGCTTACAAAAGAATATGTGTGTTTTTTAAATCTTAAGCTCTTGAAAGCAGCAGGACTGTGGGTGCACGATCATCGCTCTTTTTTTCAGTCTATTTCAAAGGGAACCAATCCGTTGCGCTTTATAGGCACGGTTGCTTTGTGCGAGTAAACAGGTGCGCGCGCGATTTTTTACAGTCGCGCGTATCAAATCAGCTGTTAGCGCGAGTGGTCATGCTCTCATTCTGTGTTCACCATACTTTTGCTCGCACGAACGTGCTTTTTTGTCAGTTGTGCTGCTTCTCAAATCTAATATCACATTTGCATGAATATTGGTCCATGCTTATTGTCGAACCCTGCTTTTAAGAAAACTTCAATTGAAAAATGATTTCCAACCAGCCAAAGAGGCAAGTGGAGGTGTTTGTCTAACCCACCAGAGCTGAAATCTACCCGCATTTGGCGGGTGTTAATGTAAAGCCCTGCTTAGAAACAGTATTGCAGAAAATTTTGACGGTTTTAAAACCTTGACTTTTCTAAATCGCGGTATACCTTGAAAACGGTTATCGCCCATGCCTAGTTAAGATGCTATACAGGATTAAATGGTTTATGCAAATAAATACACATTTTTGAAAATGTATTCCGCTTCAGGTTTGGTTTTCATGCTGTGTAAGGAGGCTTTAGTATTGTTTTTGTGTCTTCATTATTTTTGTTAGTTTTGTGTATCTTCATTATTTTAATCCAACATTACAATCATTTTCTTCCTCTTCAGAGCTGCAGAAAGATGTCTCTTTTATTTCTCTGTCTGCTCTCTCTGACCCCTGCAGTGGCTACCGAAGGTATATTTTATTAATATTTCTGTGTTTATGGATTGTATATTTTCTGAGGTTGAGTTTGGTTTTGTCTTGCAGGGGGTCTCAGTGGAAAAGTGCTTCTGTTTACAGCCAGGACTAACACCAGCTATGTTAAACTCATTCCTGATAAACACCTGAGTCTGTCAGCGTTTACTCTCTGCATGCGTGTGGCGACGGAGCTGCTGGGATTTAGGGAAGTCATCTTGTTCGCCTACCGCACGCCTGAAGTTGATGAACTCAATTTGTGAAGGGAGAAAGATGGCCGTTTCTCCGTCTATATTCAGTCTAGTGGAGATGGAGCACTTCTCCGTCTCCCTCCTCTCTCCATCTTTCAGACTCACCTGTGTGTGACCTGGGAGTCTGCAACTGGTCTCACTGCCTTTTGGGTGAATGGACGCCGCAGTTTGTACCAAGTGTACAGGAAAGGTTACTCAATTCGTCCTGGCGGCACCGTCCTGCTCGGACAAGACCCTGATTCATATGTAGGTTCTTTTGATGTAGATCAGAGCTTTGAAGGAGAAATTACAGATCTGCAAATGTGGGACTATGTTCTGTCCGGCACTCAGATTAAAGCGGTGTACTCAAACCAGGAACCGCATGTGAACGGAAATGTCTTTAACTGGAACACCATCAAATATGATGCTGTTGGAAATATGATATTGGTTCATGATAACTGATTCAGATGTAACACAAAGAGACGGATGTAAGCTAGTGTGGCTGTGGAGAAAAAGGAATTTATTTGTATTACTTTTGCATCGCTATTTTTTTTATTAGAAAAATGTTTTGACAAACAACAAATTAATCAATCTTTTTTAATTGTATGGGACCATATATTACACAGACATACTTCTTCTTTTTTTTTACTGTAATGCATACTATTTAGAAGGAACTGCTGACAAGAGGGAAATAGCAGAATACGAATAAATATAATGCGGGGGCCCCTGTTCCAGACTGCTGTCTAATAAGAAGTCTAGACATGTCACAAGGAGCATGATGCTTGTAGAAGTTGTGAAACATATTGAAGATGCACTAAATTGTTCAGTTCTGGTATGCAGAGAGGAGTTGCCGAAAAGAGGAAGTATGTCTGGGTGCAACAGTTAAGGACTGCAGAATGACTGATAAGTGAGGTTACACCAAAACTCCACCTGTTAAGATCAGTTGTGTACATATGCTGGAGTCAGGAAATGTATGTTAGTTGCGAACCTCTTGAATGTAATTCTTGTATTGCATTGAGGTAACATAACCCAGAGCTCTGTCATCGAATTATTCATTTATATCTAAAATAAATTACTAATATTTTTGGCATTGAAGAAGACCCACTCCAGACCTTTTCTTATTGAACACGCATGGATACATACAGGTTTTCCAACAAGGCTAAACCAGAGACATAATTCATGACCCAAACTGTCAGGAATCCAGGCCTGTCACTCCTTTCTGTGTTTAATGTCTGTTTGTGTTGTGTATTAGCACATCGTTGTCTCTTTTGTTGTGCTGGCCATGTGCTTCCTTTGTCCTGCCTCTGTGTTTTCCTATGTCTCGGCCCCTTGTTTAGTCCTTGTTTGTCACACGTGACTTTTTTAGCTCTTTAACATGCGAGTAAACTCTCCTCACATTGGTCAGAGTTTCATGGTTGGTCCTGCTCAGCTGTCAGAGGGAGTGGTGGCTTGGTGGTGTTTGACAGGGTGCACGCTACGTGTCTGAAGAGCGAGGAGGCATGCGGTGGGCAGGGGTGAGAAGGGTGCACAACTCAATTGAGGGGGACCCGCAATTTCTGGGAGATTATCACTCAATTGCGGGCATCCAGGAGTCTCTGTGCATTTGCGGGAGACTCCCAGGACTTCCAGGAGACTTGGGTTGTCTGGAATGACCTCCCGCCCTACTCATAATTCTCTCTTCATATAGCTGTATGCCTATTAAATATCCATAAAACACTGTGATATAACCGGGCTCGGATCATATCGCTTTCTCACTACAATCGATCCGCCCCACAGTTCGTTTCAATCGAGTCGAGACCACCTAATTCAGGTGATCTCAGAGCGATTGTTTTAGCGCGGATCCAAGCGCGATTGCTGGATTAACATATGCCAAACAAACCGCACTAACTAGGCAAACGAAACAAAAAATACTGTCCCCGTCTGCCCCTGCATGAATGTAACTGTGGGACACAATGTTCTAGGGAGCCTTGACTCTGTGTATCATGTAAACAATGTCAGGTGAATGTACTCTAGGTTTACAGTATATATAGCTGAACTGATCTTCTCTCAGTTAAAACCTGCTGAATCGGGTAAGTATGTTTATCTAATTTTTATCTTATTCTTGTTTATCTTGCCTTATTTATGTCTTTTAAAAAATGAAGCATTATCTATCTTTTATAGAATCTGACATTTTGTCTCTGCTGTGTCTAAAACATACTTAATAACAACTCCTTTTTTTAAAGATGAGTAGTGTGTTTTTTCTGCATTACTGTTACCAATATTCAGATGTAATTTCTATTATGTGAAAGGTCATGTGTGTGTATATGCATGTTTTAAAAAGTGATGTACTTTCATACCTAATATGATTTAATCTAACAAAGAAGCCAAGAACAAATGTACTAAAACAGGACTTCTTAACCTTTTTCACTTCGGGACCCACTTCTTTCTCCAATCAATTTTTGAAGGCCCACGTGTCTGGCATTTTCTTAAAGTTTGTATGAAACACTCATTTAAACCTTATTTATTAACGAAAATGTTATTATATTATTTTTATATAATATAATATTGTTTTATATTATATTATTTTATTATTATATTATATTATATTATATTATGTTATGTTTATATACTATTATATTATTTTGTATTATATTATATTATTTTTATATTATATTATATTATTTTTATATTATATTATATTTATGTTATTTTATATAATATTTAAATTATATTATTTTTATATTAAATTATTTTTATATTATATTATATATGCCATTTACATATATTTCAGTAATATGGAAAGCGAGTGCATGTTTTTACCAAATCTAATATTGGATTTTATTTTAAATGCGTGTGCGTGTTAAACAATATATTTTGCACAAAGAAATGATGGGGTTCTACTCTAAAGACGTAGTTACTCCACTCTGTTTACAGCATCATTATGGGCATTTTACATTATAACTAACATGGTTCAAGCGATGGATCTGCTGTCATGACTGTCAGTGACCACCTGAGGGCGCTGTAGTTTAATGGACACTGAGTGGAACTACAGCGCCCAAAAAGACTACATTTCCATACATTCTTTCGCGCACACACCCGGTCTGTCATCTACACTGATTTACAACCACAGTTGTCTCCAATCTCCGTTGATTACCTGGACTATATATTCATCCATTCCACCACTATACATCATTAAAACTGCACTTGGATTCTACACCTGTTTTTTGTTCCTGTTTTGATCACTCTAACGTGACAGAACGACCAACTCAACAATAAATCCACCAGATGATGTTCTTATGCTGATTAAACAACATAACCGCTCCATTGAGCGTTATGTTAAAGAGTTTTTGGAGCTAGCCCCAAAGAGCTCTCACAGCGATATGCTGCTTATGATGTTCTTTCGGGGAGGACTTTTGGAACCAGTTCGTTCTCTAATGCTACCGTATGAGGATGACTGGAACCTTAATCGGTTCATCGAAGCGGCTTTATTGATCTCTGGCTCCCCTCTCTCTGTTGTCTTGAAGGAGGAGAACCCTCAGGAGGGAGGCCTGAGTGGAGGGCAACAGAGAGGGATATTTTCGGGGCCAGCAGATCTATCTAAGGGAAGGAGGAGAGAGGCTGGGTTGGAGTTGCAGACTGATCCGCGTCGGGCTGTCCGAAGACCACCTTTCGCTGGGCCTCTGGAGAGTCTCCTGGAACTGTGTGAGACCCCTGTGTCTTCTCTAGCCCCACAATGCCCGCCAGTGTCAATTCCAGCCCCAGAGCAAGCTCCCTCTCCTGATGACAACGCTCTCCCTTCTCAAACCACCAGACAAAGGAGGCGCAGGAAGAGGACTGCCCATGTCCCAGAAAGTCCACCAGTGTCGGCTCCAGCCCCAGAGCGCCCGCCAGTGTCGGCTCCAGCCCCAGAGCGCCCGCCAGTGTCGGCTCCAGCCCCAGAGCGCCCGCCAGTGTCGGCTCCAGCCCCAGAGCGCCCGCCAGTGTCGGCTCCAGCCCCAGAGCGCCCGCCAGTGTCGGCTCCAGCCCCAGAGCGCCCGCCAGTGTCGGCTCCAGCCCCAGAGCGCCCGCCAGTGTCGGCTCCAGCCCCAGAGCGCCCGCCAGTGTCGGCTCCAGCCCCAGAGCGCCCAACACTGTCGATTCCAGCTCCAGAGCAAGCTCCCTCTCCTGATGACAACGCTCTCCCTTCTCAAACCACCAGATGGAGGCGCAGGAAGAGGACTGCACATGTCCCAGAAAGTCCACCAGTGTCGGCTCCAGCCCCAGAGCGCCCGCCAGTGGCGGCTCCAGCCCCAGAGCGCCCGCCAGTGTCGGCTCCAGCCCCAGAGCGCAGTACAGTGCCAGTCCCAGTCCGGCTCCTTACCCTACCGGCGCCACCCAGGCTGCTCGCCCTGCCGGCGCCACCCAGGCTCCTAGCCCTGCCGGTCCCAGCCCGGCTCCTGGCATTACCAATGCCATCCAGACGTCTTGCCCTGCCGGCACCTCCCAGACGTCTTGCCCTGCCGGCCACAGTCCGGCTCCTGGCTTTACTGGCGCCACTCAAGCTTGCCCTGCCGGCACCTCCCAGACGTCTTGCCCTGCCGGCCACAGTCCGGCTCCTGGCTTTACTGGCGCCACTCAAGCTTGCCCTGCCGGCACCACCCAGGCTCCTCGCCCTGCCGGGGCCACCCAGACATTTTACCCTGCCGGCCCCAGTCCGGCTCCATGCCCTGCCGGTTCCAGTCCATCTCTTTGCCCTGCCAACCCCAGCCCGGCTCATGCTCTGCCGACCACAGCCCGGCTCCTTGCTCAAAAATTGCTGTTTGTTAGTTGGTCGTTGTCGTTCATGGTATGTTGTTCCTGTATCTTGTTAAAGTCTAGTTCAAGTTAATCTGTCTTTGTTTCTTGTTTGTTTGTTTGCTATTCTGTTACTTTGTTACTTTGTATTTTTGTATTTTTTGTCACTTCTCTGCACTCTGTGTTTTGTTCCTGTTTTGATCACTCTAACGTGACATCTGCGACAGAGAAACTATGTGTTTTGGGAAACACTCGTCACTACATCGTTCTTTTCCAGAACGATGCATCATACTATGATAGTTCAGCCGTGAGTTACGTCGGTGTTTGGGAAACGCACCCCTGATTGATAGTTATTCAGGCATCTTTACACAGCAGAGCTCACAGAAAATAAACCTGAACTGGCATAAACTTTTGAAATTTATCATTTACTCCAATAACACAGTTTAATGCAACACAGAGCCTGCTTTAGTGCCGCTTAAAGTTGCAGTTAGTTAAACTGTGCAGTACTTTTCTTCCTTTTCAGACTTGGAGCAAGATGTTGGTTTTGTTTTTCTGTCTGCTCTCTCTGACATTAGCGGCTACCGAAGGTACTTATTTATTTATTTATATATATATATACACACAGTTGAAGTCAGAATTATTAGCCCCCCTTTGAATTTTATTCTTTTTTAAATATTTCTCAAACAATGTTTAACAGAGCAAGGAAATTTTCAAAGTATGTCTGATATTTTTTTCTTCTTGAAAGTTTATTTGTTTTATTTCGGCTAGAATAAAAGTAGTTCTTTATTGTTGAAACACCATTTTAAGGACAATAATATTAGCCCATTTACGCTATATATTTTTTTCGATATACAGAACAAACCATCGTTATACAATAACTTGCCTAATTACCCTAACCTGCCTAGTTAACCTAAATAACTGTACATCTCATTGTACAGGGAAATGTGTTTCCTTACTGTTCACATGACAATAAACAGTTGAATTGAATTAAATTGAATTGAGTTAAGCCTTTAAATGTCACTTTGAGCTGTATCGAAGTGTCTTGAAAAATATCCAGTCAAATATTATTCACTGTCATCATGGCAAAGATAAAATAGACCAGTTATTAGAGATGAGTTCTTAAAACTATTATGTTAAGAAATGTGTTGAAAAAATCTGCTCTCTATAAATTAGGGAAAAAAAATAAACGGGGGGCTAATAATTCAGGCGGGCTATAGTTCTGACTTCAACTGTATATATAATTTTTTTTTTTTTTTTTACAGATTTTTAATGATTTTTCTATGTCCTTTTTAAGGTTTTATTTTGGTTTTGTCTTGCAGTGGGTCTCGGTGGTAAAACTCTTTTTTTCCCGACCAATACTGACTCCAGTTATGTTCAAATCGATCCTGATAAACCCCTGAGTCTGTCAGCGTTTACTCTCTGCATGCGTGTCAGGCTGGAGCTGCTGGTCGATAGGGTGGTCATCCTGTTCGCCTACCGCACATCTGAAGTTGATGAACTTAACGTGTGGAGAGAGAAAGATGGCCGTGTGGGTTTGGTTATTCAGTCTGATAAGGATGCAGCAATGGTTCACCTGTCTCCACGCTCCACATTTCAGACTCACCTGTGCATCACCTGGGATTCTGCAACTGGTCTTACTGGTTTTTGGGAGGACGGACGTCGCAGTGTGTACCAAATGTACAGGAAAGGTTACTCCATTCGTCCTGGCGGCACCGTCCTGCTCGGACAAGACCCGGATTCATTTGTAGGTTCCTTTGATGCAGCTCAGAGCTTTGTGGGAGAAATAACAGATGTGCAAATGTGGGACTATGTTCTGCCCAGCACTCAGATTAAAGCGGTGTACTCAAACCAGGATGATCGTGTGAAGGGAAATGTGTTTGATTGGAACACCATCAAATATGATGTTACTGGAAATGTGCTTGTGGTTCCAGATAACTGACTGGATCAGCTGTAATGTTTACCCAAGATTAACCAAACAATAAAACAATTCTGAAAACTACAGCTTCAGTTTGTTTATAACATGGACCAATGCTAAATGTTGAAAGTGTTTAGTTAAACATGTTTGAATATGACCTATCCTAATTATTTCTAAACTATGTTGCGTCAAGGCAGACAAGACCTATTTGAAGCAAGCTGTGTGAGGGTTGCTGATGTGACGTTGTGTTTTCAGTGTCACACAACAAAATGTAATATTAGCATTGTAATTTAAAATGATGTAAATTGTTACACATTACTTTGTTTTTGTGATTAAAACTTGTTATTATTATTTTGAAACAATCATGATTTACTTTATATTATATTTATATAGAAGTTGCTGGTTAGTCCACTTTTTTGGACAAGAGAACTGAGTTTATTCAAATGAACTTACCGGAGTAAAAGCCCAAACTGGCTTTGCGCAGCACACCTCTGCTTTACTTGTTAAAAACCAGTTAGATTTATTCATTTATTTTTGTAATCTTTGCATACACACGTGACGTTTGCGTGTGTGTGAGTAGGTGAGATGAGGGGGAAAAAAGCACACAGTGGACTGAACCACTTTGAAGAAGGGGAGGGGGAACTCAGCTGTTTCTAAATGCATTTTAAATGATGAATGCGGTTTTCTTTCTACTTAGACAATTATTTTATGTATATATATACATATATTTTTCACAATTCAGAGGGTTTTTTAAACCTTTTTTTTTTGAGGGGGGGGGGGGGGGGGGGTTACAAGCCTCGGATGAGAGGGGACATGTCCCCGTCCCTCCCGGGATTTACGCCCCTGCATATAGAAGCTATAAATTAACAGAGTTTTATGTTTTCTTCATCTGAAGCCCCATTATACTGATCAGTCTTTGCTTTAGTTAAACACTTGACCTTAAACTTCTCAATCAATATCAATACTAGACATTTTAGAATCAGAAGAGAAATCTGTCGGATACTCTGCTGCCTTCTGGTGGTCACATGCAGGTAGTTCAATTATAAATAATATCAAAACATTTTCATTGTTAATTAATTATAGGCAAAGTGTTGCATTCATATAAAGTTCCAGTAACGTTCAGACATCTACATCTCAATATTAGGCCGTCATCAGGGCCAGACAGTAGGCTGTTTTTAATCACATGGTTCTGATGACATGCGAAATTCAGATGGAGGACACAGAGTAAAAAACTGAATAGGAGACAGAGAGAGAGGTCTGTATATTTGCAATTTATAACATATTTCAAAGGAGAAATAAGATTCAAAATAAACACATATGTTGGGTATGATCCTCAGATCATGAAGAGGGCCGAGTTTTCTACTGAACTAAAGTTTATTTGCCTGTCATCCACGCGGTAGATGCTGTAAAAGCTATTATGATACATGAAAAAATAAATACTATAGTGTTTGGGAACATACTCTAGATCAGTGGTTCCCAAACGTTTTGCTGTGTGCACCCCTTTCTATTTGACACCTGTCAAGCACCCCTTTCTCAGATTAAACTCAACATTTTTTAACTACATGAACTAAATACATATATTTTCTGTATACATTATTCAAATAAAAATAAGAAAAATATGTGAATCAAATGGATGAGCTTTTAGGAAGTTGACAATTTTCACATTATCATTAAGTACAGACAAAAGTTCATCTGGCGTGTTATCCATCGCTAGAGCTTCTTGGTCAGGGACGGACTGGCCATCTGGCAATTCTGGCAAATGCGAAAAGGGCGGGGACCAATTTTTAAATGTGGGCCGGTCAGTTTTTTAAAAAATATGTATTTTGTTTTTTACGTGCAGGCAGCTTTTATCTCTTGCTACATGTGATATTATAATGATGATAATAGTAAAAATAATAATAATAATAATAAATGTTAAGCATTTGGCCCAATCGGCGACGAACGCCTGGTTTAAGATGGGCCGACCCAATCCGAAGTTACCCGGACAAAATCAAAATCTGACAAGAATGTCACTTATTTCACCATCTGTACACCAATATAATTAGTGAATGTGCTTGTCCGTGGGTAGGGCTGTGTTGATGTGGTAATGCAACCTGATCTCACGAGAAAATGTAAGTATTTTACGTTTTGCCAGTTTAGTGTCTAATTCGTACGAATTCGTACGAGTTCAGTCGTATGAAATAGTACGATTTTAAAAAGGAGGCGTGGCACCTAACCCCACCCCTAACCCCAACAGTCATTGGGGGATGAGCAAATCGTACTAAATTGTATGAATTAGATTGTACGAATTCATACAAATTAGCCACTAAATGAAAAAGATTGTGTTGGGTAATGTAGTCTGGTGTGGCTACAGTGCCAGGGCTGAATTTTTGTCCCAGTCCGCCCCTGTTCTTGGTGGATGCTGCAGTGTACCCAGGAAACAGATGGTGCAACTTTTCTGATGAAAGCTACTGCTCCTTTGTGCCTCCTTTTTTCGTCTTCTGCAGTTCCTCCAATTTTCCTTGAAAAAAAAGCTTACAGGCATGCCTTGTTAGTGGCTGATTCTTGTTTGTAAGTGCCGGACCATATATGAGGGCTTAAGACTGCTATCAGCTAGGTGCGTTCGACTTCATGCAGCGCTGCGCAGATCGATCGAAATCTGTCTTAAAGCGGTGCATGCTTGTAAGAAATCTTGTCCGGATTGATGCTGCGCTGTCGCCACGTGACTGTCAGATGTGGTATCAAAGTACCGCGACAGCGCTCCGAGATCAGACGGCAGACTCAGACCGTGCAGCATCTGAAGAGCGGCTGCAGGAGCTCTGATGACGATACCGATATTACACGATTGGCCGAGTTCACCACATGACAACAAACACGTGTATTTCGGGTTTATAATTGGGAAAATTCCAATTCAAAAGTTTTAAAACAAACAATTCACTTTTTATATCCTCTCTATCTTGCACACATCTTGCTTATTAAAAGACTACAAATATTTTACTGCAGTAATCATCTTTTGTTAAATAATCTGGTTATAAAGGTTACCTTGTTTGCACAGGTTTATTTTCAACCTTTTTATACAGACTATTTACTGCATTCATCTCCATGAACGATTTAAATTATATATTTTAGTGAATAACCTAAATATGAACTCAAATAAGTCTTACAGACTTGAAATAAAATAAACATAATCATTCATTCTGCCACCCTATAGCTTTCTTAACAAATTAAGTAAAGAACTATTTTATTAAATAATTATAAAATGATTTTATGATTATAATATATATATTTTATTTCTGGCCGTTTATACCTGGTCTTTCTGGGAAACTTCTGCTTAAAGTGTAGCTCACTTATTTTACCTTTTGTTCAATCTTTTTGGATTAAAGTGTTTTTTTGAAAAAGCTTTCATTATCCAAAATAATCTTAAGACTTAACCAAAACACCTTGTTTTGCATTTTACATTGGAAAGTTTTATAAATGTACATAAATGTAAATCCCTTTTTAGCATATTCAAACAAAAAGTATTAGCCTAAAGTGATGTTTAAACTCCTAGAATTTGTGCTTATTGCTCTGTATTTAATAGACCTGTTCGTTTGTATGTTTATATTAACCTCTCATTTCCCCTTATTTCTCTCATGCATTTGTTATATATTTTATTCATAATTATTGTTTTAAAATGAACTATAGTTTGTTGAGACTGTATTCTGTGTATTTAAACCAGGATAATCGTGTGAAGGGAAATGTGTTTGACTGGAACAGCATCAAATATGATATTTATGGAAATGTGCTTGTGGCTCCAGATAACTGACTGGATCAGCTGTAATGTTCACCCAAGATTAACCAAACAATAAAACAATTCTGAAAATTATAGCTTCAGTTTGTTTGTGACATGGACAAATGCTAAATGTGAGTGTTTAGTTAAACATGTCTGCATCTATGACCTCTTTATCCAAGTTGTTTCTAAAATGTGCAAACAGTTAACAGACCTCCAAACAAAGGCTGATGAGATCTATTTGAAACGAGGTGTGTGTGTGTGTTCGTTCTTCTATCTGTGTCCCTTTTTATATTCAAATCAGTTATTAATTGAAAATTCAAAAATGTGTTTATTTAAAGATTTGTGAGCAAAAAGTCACTGGTTAATCAGGTTTTTTTTTTTTTTTTTTTTTGAGCAAGAAAACAAAGTTTGTTCAAACTAAACCTGAATTTCCTGGAGTAAAAGCCCAAACTGGCTGTGTGCAGCATACCTCTACTTTACTTGGTAAGAAGCAGTTAAATCGTTTTTGTAATCTGTGCATATAGAAGCTATACATTTAAGATTGTGTTTTTCTTCATGTCAATTTTACTTGTATAGCACTATTAAACCGAGGTTAACCAATGTGCTACACAATTCACATCACAAAGAAAAATATAAAGTGTGACGTCACCATTTATACTGATCTGCGTTTGCTTTAGTTGAGCTCTTTTCTTGACCTTTAACTTTTCAATCAATTATAAACCTTTTCGAAGAGAAATGTGTCAGATAATCTGCTGCCTTCTGCTGGTCACATGCAGGTAGTTCAATAACTAATATCAGAACATTTTCATTGCTTGAATAATTCTAGACTAGGTTTTGCATTTATATAAAGTTCCAGTAATGTTCGAACATCTACATCTCCTAATTAGGCCGTCATCAGGGCCAGAATGAATTTTTTTGCTTTTTCTGCGCAGCATTTAAAGACCAAAACAACATTTCAGATGTTTTACCATGTGCTCGCTCTGCTGCTTGGATCATTAATGCATCCATTCGTGCTCATTTTCATCATCACATGATCAAAATCACCTTTTTGATGCGAATGCTAATCCATTTAGTATGTGGTTCCATCATATTGAGCATTTCTTTCCTATATGATAAAAAGTTTAGCGTTCTCCGTAGGTTTATTATGCAGATTTTCAAAATTGATGAACATCTTGGCATTTTCATTGTTTTGCCAATGTTGTTTTGACAGTATTGGTAACTGGTGTTGATTTGCACTTTATAAATCCCCAAGGACCAGTTTCAGCTAAAAATATTTAATATTCTACTGGACAAAAAATTTGCCTACATCTTGAATGGCCTAAGGGTTTGAAAATATAGACTATATAAGTTTATTCATATTATTACATATAAAATTTATTTTAAGGTGAACTGCCCTTTCAACCAAAACAAGCTTGGAATGACCAAGAGGCGACACTCAATAGCACGTTCCATTGCAACAGCAGCGCCCAGCAACAGCCCCGGATTCTGCCATTTTGGAGTGAAAGCGATCAGCTGTCCATTGGATCTTATTGCTGTCGCGATGGCAAGCAGCTGCTTTGTTTTATATTTATTTATTGAAAAAGTGCATTAAAGCTAAGATGCTACCTAAAAGACGACAATACAACGAATTACTATCACAATCTTTAACACTTTTAATAGTTTATTTTACAGACTTAAAATATGCTGTTGTTCTATTGAAGTTTTCATTCCAAAATGGCCGCCGCGCCATCTAGTGGCTGATCCCCAAATTGCACTAGTGTCGCCTTTTGGTGATTCTATGCTCTTTGACCAAAATGAGACAATGGCTGTGTCCGAAACCGCCTACTATTCAGTAGGTACTGCATTCTGATTTAAACATACTACTCGGCCGTTACAAAAGTACGTTCTATACAGTATGAACGTGAAAAGTATGAATGAAATTTGGACGTACTACATCCGCCATTTCGTCATGGTCACGTGACCTACCTGCGTCAATTGCGTCACTTTACTCCCATTCATGAATTCGCTCGCAGGGCATCATAGGATAGCGCAGTATGCATGCGATGCGCACTTGAGAATCTCGCAGGAAGTAGTAAGTCATCCGGGTACTTCTCGCATACTGATTTTCGAATTCTATGAATTCAGACATACTGATTTTCCATAGTATGGAAGTATGCGGTTTCAGACGCTGCCAATGTGAGAACTGCATTACCCATAATGCATGAGTGAAATCAACATCAGATCAGAATTTTACCAACTAATATTTAGCTGGCTAAGTCTTGTGTGTAGTTTTAAATGCCTACTTCCTTACACGTATTTGCTGTTAAATAATAAGTCTTACAGATCCCATGAAATTTGTGATTAGGAGAATTAATAAAACTTATATAAACATGTAAAGCTTGTAGTTTGTCACTACAATAAATCTACAGCAGGGGTGGCCAATCCTGTTTCTGGAGAGCTACCTTCCTGCAGATTTCAGTTGCAACCCATATCAAACACACCTAAACCAATTAATTAGGACCTGAACACCATGTGATAATTACAGGCAGGTGTGTTTAATATGGGTTGCAACTGAAATCTGCAGGAAGGTAGCTCTGCAGGAACAGGATTGGCCACCCCTGATCTACAGCTTTAACTTCATTCTCGTCGCTGTGTCTCATCAAGCAGTGACCAATCAAATGCTCTCTATATCGGACATGCCCCGCCCCCTTCAAGAGTTTTTTCAATTTGCTGCGCTTGAGCTACTCAGTGGCAGAGCAGTGATAAAACAAATCGCTATTGGCTGTTTTTTTTAAAGGGAGGAGCTACATTTTCTTCCACAGGATCTTCACGTATTTTGATTGAGATTAATTAATCAAAAATCGAATAAAAATTTACATTTCAAAGCACTTCATGGGATCTTTAAACAAAGACTATATATAAACAGTTTACTTGCATTACTATAAATGAGGGAAATGCAAAGCTCAGTGGGCGCCAAAGCGAAGTCCCGCCTACCTGTTGAATTAACCAATCTGAGTCTTTTCAGCAAACCTGAAGCAGCATAAATAGTCAAAGGTGTGCGGCATTAGTCATTACGCTGAATCCGAGCACACACACCTGCTTTAGGGCTGCCTTAAATCAGCTGTTAAACACCTTCAGTGAAACTGTGCAGTCGCTTTATTACTCTTCAGGAGCAAGATGCTGCTTTTGTGCTTCTGTCTGCTCTCTGTGCATTTAGCGGCTGCTGACGGTATTGTTATTTATTTATAGGTTAAACAAGTCTGCATTTGACCTTATCTAAATTTCTAAAATCTGTTGGTCAAGTGACTAGCTCGCATTGAGGAAGTTGGTTTTTATATTTACACATTTGTTCTGTGACAACTCCCTGTATAGTTTACTATAGTACTTTGAATATTTGGACTGATATTGCATGCAAGAATGACAGGGGGAGAAAAAAAACTGCACTATTTCTTTGACTGAACATTTTTACTTTGACAGTCATTGGTTGCTAATATGGTTTGACTATTTAGACTTTACAATTTAATACATTTTTCTGAAATTTATATTAGGGAGAGTCCAAATGTGTAACTTTAAAACCAACTTTACCTCAATATAGTCCACAGGTCTCTAAACAAAGTCAGATGAGATCTATTTGAAACAAGCTGTGTTGTAATGAATGCCGTTGTTTTGTTTTGTATTCTTTTTCCTCTGTCTGTTGTGTCCCTTTTATAAATTTAAATCTGTTAATTGACAATTCAAAAATACTAATATAGTAAAAATCATTTTTATTTTTAAACCATATATATATATATATATATATACACACACACACACACACACAATTGTTTAAAAAAATATTATTTTTTATTATATTCAAGTATTTTTGAATTGTCAATTAACAGATTCAAATTTATAAGAGACACAACAGACAGAAAAGCATGCATTACAACACAGCTTGTTGTAATTTTGTTGTACATCTTATATTATTTATATTAATAAATGTTTACTTTAGGGTGAATTGCCCCTTTAACCAAAATGAGAAATTGTGAGAACTGCAGTACTCAATCCATGAGTAAAATCAACATCAGATTAGAATTTTACCAACTAATATTTAGCTGGCTAAGTCCTGTGTGTAGTTTTAAATGATACTTCCTTAAACTTATTTGCTATAAAAAGTTCAATATTACAGATCCCTTAAAATTAACCTTTTTTTTCGAAGTTAGTATCAGTATTGTTAATATTTAGGACATGTCAGCTAGTGCGCAGCAAAACAGTGGCAAAATTTGCGATTAGGAGATATAAAACTGATATAAACATGTAAAGCTTGTAGTTTGAAGCTATAATGGATCAACGGTTTATTCACATTCCCATTTTATCTTATTTATGTATTTTGTATTATGTTCCCAGTCATGTACTTTTATATTAACACTAACACTATATTGGATTGTTGAATATACCATTGGTACTTGAACTTACGGTTAATAAAAAAAATAAAGTTTTATTCACATCACCTCAAACTTCAGTTTCTCAACTAATCGTGACCAATCAAATGCTCTCTCCATCTGACATGCCCCGCCTCCTCCTCATTTATTCGTGATAAAAGAATTCTCTTTTGGTTATTTTTAAAAGGGGGATGAGCTACATTATGTCCCACAAACTCTTCATGTGTTTTGTTTGAGATTAAGTCAAACGTTGAATAAAAATTCACTAAATTACTTCATAGAGTTTATCCCACAAAAATATTTCTACAAAAATGTAAAATTTATATTGAGCTAGAATGCTGTTTTTCTGAAAGCTTTAATGAAATATTTCACATTTATTTTGGTCTTGCCAATATACTCGACTTTTTTGGATCAATGTTGACGCTTTTATTGCTCATAATATTTAAAAATCATTTTCTTTATCTTGTAAACATGTGATTTTGGGTTTTTATGTTAAGGATCACTCTTTAAAAGATGCTGGTTTTATTATAAACTTTATTTTATTATTTTGTAAATTTCACATACATAAATCCAAGTTTTCCAAAAGCAAACCTCTCATCATGGTGCCAGAAAAAGAGATTCAAATGTATATAAAAGTGATTTCCAAGTCTCAAAATAGAAAAGCCATTAAAACAATTAATATATGCTCCTCCTTTAACATTTTTACATAAAATGTTTGTAAATATGCATTTCCTGTAGAAAAAGTGCATTAATAACTCTTAATAACTAAAATTGGAAAATGCGTAATATATTTTTATGTAATTTGATAATTATGTACCCTCTCCTCTGTTTTTGTATTTTTTTCTCTTCTCTTCTTCTTTAATTTCTTTTTTTCTCACTTATTTCATTCTTGTTAAGAAATGTAAAGTGATTGAATTGTATAAGAAAACTGTACATGCTGTTTCTTGTTTATAAAAAAAATCACATTTCAAAGCTCTTTACGGAGTCTTAAAGGAAGTCTGTAGATAAACAGTTTACTCTCATTATTATAAATGAGGGAAATGCAGAGCTCAATCTAGCCGCCAAAGCGAAGGCCCGCCTACCTGTTGAATTAACCAATCGTCAGTGTTTTCAGCAAACCTGAAGCAGCATAAATAGTCAAAGGTGTGCGGCATTAACCATTGCGCTGCATCCGAGCACACACACCTGCTTTAAAGCTTACGCAAATCAGCTGATAAACACCTTCAGTGAAACTGTGCAGTCAGACCTGGAGCAAGATGCTGCTTTTCTTCTGTCTGCTCTCTGTGACATTAGCGGCTGCTGAAGGTACTGTTATATATTTACATATTTCTGCTGATTTTTCTTTTCTCCATGTCCTTTTTTAATGGTTTTACTTTGGATTTGTCTTGCAGTGGGTCTCAGTGGTAAAACTCTTCTGTTCCCGACTGCTACTGACACCAGTTATGTAAAACTCAGTCCTAGAAAACCCCTGAGTCTGTCAGCGTTTACTCTCTGCATGCGTGTGGCGACGGAGCTGCCGGCCAAAAGGGAGATCATCCTGTTCGCCTACCGCACACCTGACGATGATGAGCTCAATGTGTGGAGAGAGAAAGATGGCCGTTTCTCCGTCTATATTCAGTCTAGTAAAGATGCAGCCTTTTTCCGTCTTCATCCTCTCTCCACATTTCAGACTCACCTGTGCGTCACCTGGGAGTCTGCGACTGGTCTTACTGCCTTCTGGGTGGACGGTCAACGCAGTTTGCACCAAGTGTACAGGAAAGGTTACTCCATTCGTCCTGGCGGCACCGTCCTGCTCGGACAAGACCCGGATTCATATGTAGGTTCCTTTAATGCAGCTCAGAGCTTTGTGGGAGAAATTACAGATCTGCAAATGTGGGACTATGTGCTGTCCGGCACTCAGATTAAAGCGGTGTACTATAACCAGGATAATCGTGTGAAGGGAAATGTGTTTGATTGGAACACCATCAAATATGATGTTACTGGAAATGTGCTTGTGGTTCCAGATAACTGACTGGATCAGCTGTAATGTGCACGATTAACCAAACAATAAAACAATTGTGAAAACTGCAGCTTCAGTTCGTTTATAGCACAGACAAATGCTTAAATGTTAAAGGGTTCAGTTAAACCTGACCTCCTCGATCTAAATTTTTTTTTAAATGTTATGTTAGCCAAGCAATGGGGTTCACAGACCTCCAAAGGCAAATGAGATCTACTTGAAACAAGCTACTGAGGATAGAGGTAAAGTTGGTTTTATATTAACACCTTTGTTCAGTGACAACTCCTTTTTATTTCCCACTGCACTTTAAATATTCGATATAAATTAACATGCAAGTGTGATTTGAAGTCAACTTTTAATTTTTTTTTTTATATTACTGTGAACAATGTTGTACATTGACAGTCATTGGCTGCTAAAATGATTTCTCTATTTAGAGTTTGCAAAATACTTTTGTGAAAATTAAATTAAGGGGAACGTCTGAATGTGACTATAAAATCAACTTAACCTCTATGGCTATAGGTCCATACACAAATTGGGGGAAAAAAAAAAATATATATATATATATATATATATCAAAGATGATTCCTTAGATTTTTTTTAAATTTTTTTTATTATTATTATAGTGGTCAATTTTTATTTGGGCTGAATTTAAACAAATTAACAAACCGTATTAAATTTAATTAGTTTAAATTCAACACATTTTTTTGCAACCGTTTTGCATGCAACGCTTTCTTTTTCAGTGGGTGGTTGAAAGGCATTCTTCGGGGCTTTTTTTTTTTTTTTTTTCTTTTCTCAAAGTTGAGACCATTTTGCAGATATTTTCCTATTCTATTTAATTGAGGTTTTAAATGCTGCATTTTAATGACAGTGCATTTTTTATTTTATTTTTTACTGGAATAGCTTGTCAGTTCTAACCAGATGTAGATGAACCAAAAAAACTCTTAAATTTAGAATAAAGAAATGTGTTTGTATTCTATCTGTCTATATATGCAATACAACATGTATCATTTAAAAAAAAAAGGGTATTTCTTAGTTTTAAATGACCTTCACCCTGAAGTCACACTGAAGCAACAGCCTTCTTCAATGGGTTATTTTTATAGCCATTTTTACAACTTATTATAGCACAGCTGTTAAAATAGGACAAATAAGCTCATATATGGGACAAATCCTGGACCTTTGTCAGTGAGGGTGGGTCTTTCTAACTCAAACTCCCACTGGCTTTAGGCCTGAATTGTGGGTTATTATCTTGCATATTTATTTGACTATTTTGTGTCCCAGTAATCATTGGACGCAAATTACATTTTTGTATTGCAACACTTATTTGGGTGTGAACTGATTTTATTTGGAGCAAAAAGTCACTGGTTAGTCAGGCCACCTTTTTGAGCAAGAGAACTGAGTTTGTTCAAACTAAACATGAACTAACCACCACAGTAAAAGCCCAAGGCTTTGTGCAACATGCATGTGCTTTACCAGTCAACTTTCTGTAATTTTTATTGTATAATGATGTAAGTTATTGTATAATTATGGTTTGTTCTTTGTTCCAGCCAAAATAAACCAAATAAGACTTTCTCTAGAAGAAGAAATATTATCAGACATACTGTGAAAATGTCCTTGCTCTGTTAAACAACATTTAGGAAATATTTAAAAAAGAAGAAAAAAAAAAATTAAAAGAGGCTAATACTTCTTACTTCAACTATATATATATATATATATATATATATATATATATATATATATATATACACACCTGTATTTTACACACATTTACATAAGTAAATAAATAAATGATGGATTTGAAACTTTAGGAAATTTGTTTATTTGCAAATATGAAAACCAAAAAATTCCTCTACATCACCAAAGTATTAATATAATTTAAGTGTGGTATCATGAATCATGCAAATCATAATAGAGCTGCTGTGATCTTAAATGAAAGCTTTTTTTTCTTCAAGATTACATTATTTTCATGAATCTCATTTAAAAGTGCTGTTTTGCTGTACAAGGAAGAAAAGGTTGTGTATGTGTGTTTGACAGACAGAAAGACAAATAGAGAAGGAAGCATCTTTAATGGGGTTTTGGTCTCATGATGATATTGTGAATCTCACACAGCATCTATTGTTTTCTCTGATGTCATTACAGTGCAAGGAGGGAAGAGCTCGGCAGACTTTCTGCACTCACAGCCAGAAATAAACACTCTTCAGCTGCTCGGTAAGCATTCTGGAAACTTTTCTCCTTTCATTTATATATTGCATAACAAATTTAAACAATTTCCACTTCAGTAAATTAGGATTTTAAAACTTGCATTAAACAAGAAAATGCTGCAGTGATACATTCTATTAGACAAAAAAAGTGAGGGATAAAACTCAGCGTGTTTATATGTCCTCAAAAATGACAGGAAATATTATTTGACTAGATATTTTTCAAGACACTTCTATACAGCTTAAAGTGACATTTAAAGGCTTAACTAACTAGGTTAACTAGGCAGGTTAGGGTAATTAGGCAAGTTATTGTAATCGATGGTTTGTTCTGTAGACTATTGAAACACAATCTAAAGGGGCTAATAACATTGACCTTAAAATGGTGTTTAAAAAATTTAAAACTGCTTTTATTCTAGCCAAAATAAAATAAAACATTTTTTTTCTCCAGAAGAAAAAATATTATCTGACATACTGTGAACATTTCCTTGCCCTGTTAAACATCATTTGGGAAAAATTAAAATAAAAAGAACAAAAAATTCAAAGAGGGGCTAATAATTCTCCGCAACTGTATATAAAATGTTTATATATTGACATTTACAGCATAACAATATTTGCTTTAATGCATAAAGTTTGATAGTATACTAATAGTGCTTGCTCTAATAGTGCTTAATTTTATTATTAAGTGTTCCTATTCATAATAAAATACTTTAGAGATTTAAAGGAACACATTTTGCAGATTACTTATTGCGTTATTATTATTATTTACCCCAAAAATACAGCATAATAAATCAATTTATGAAATAAAACACAAAAATTAAATCATTTATCTCCTAATGTTTTAAACTTTAATGTTACTATTATTAATGCAGGACTACTGAAAATCTGCTTTATTGAATGTGCAGTACTTTATTAATGTTACAAAACTTCTCACCTTAAACTAATTTGTTTTTGAGGGTAGTTTGTTTGGATATTAACATTGCAATGCAAAACAATAAGCATTTTTTATATGCTTTTCAAATAATTATGTATGTATTTTAAGATTTGAAGTAAGTTATATAACTTTTGTTTTCTGCAGATCTGCAACAAGATGCTGGCACCGGTGGTTTTATTTTTCTGTCTGCTCTACTTGACACCCGCAACGACTGAAGGTATCATGCAGCATCAGTTCTGCAGGAGTGTGTGCTTGTTTAAATCAATGTGTGCCATCTCCAAGCATGTTTTGGTTCATTTAAAAGACATCTAATAGACATCTAAACATAGATGGCTTGGCTAAAAAAACAGTTCAAAACTATACCAGTCATCAAATAGATAGACTATATCAGGGCCTGGTTTTTCAAAAGTAATCCACTAGGATTTTGGATAAGGGGTTGGATCAAATCTTGAAAATGGGTTTTTCAAAAGAAAAAACGGATTACATAATTGGATTAGATCTTGAAATCCAATCTTGGTTTTGATCCGGATCAAACCTTTAGTTTGGGTTTTTCAGACCTTTTTTGTAGGATCTGGATCACTTTGATCCAAAAAACCTGGATTAAACTGATCCCATCAGAAGGGTGGATTTAGCGTGGATTTCATGTCCAAAATGTAATGAAAACTTAAAAAATTTATTAAATAATACTATTTTTGGATCATGCAGTATCTTACGAGATATACTATTTATTCATAAGGTTTTAATTTTATTTGTTCATCCGTCAGGCTATAGTGGTTATAGGCTTTAACGTATTCAGCCTTTCAGTATAGGCCTACAGCAAAGTAGAAAGAGTTTGGCCTCATAAAATAATCCCCCAAACAGCTGTCAAAACTGACCAAAAACAATACATTTTATTCTGTCACTAATTGATATATATATATATATATATTCATCACAATGGAAAATATTTTTTCTTCTTAGAATATTTATTAGTGATGCATGCAATGATTACAGAATAACAAAAAAAAAAATCGCAAAGAATGGCAATCGCTGATTTTTGAAATCACCTTTAACAATTGCAAAAAGAGACTGAAAGTGCAGAAGCACAGCTTCAACTGGCAGAGGAACAACTGACTCTAACCAAACTGCAGCAAACCAAGGCCAATGACTTGAGATCTGCCTCCTAAAGGCTACGCTCAGACAAGCTGCTCTCTCCACATCAGATGAGAAAGTCTGACATTATTGTGGAGTTTTTGACATTAAGTCTTTTTTTGATTTACATCTATATTTGAAACTTATTATAAATATACTCAATGTACAGTGTTGTAGGTCTCAGATGAGTGGACTGCTGAAAGAGGAAGGGGTGGGGTTTTTCTTTTTTTATTATTTATTATTATTATTATTTTAATAGTTATTAAATATTTTTTAGTTTTCATTTCAAATAAAAATAAAGCTATATTGGCCCTACGCTGGCTATACTTGTCGCTCTTTACATATCTATAGTTTTACGTTGTGATCTCCTCTCCTGTTTGAGCACTGGTTATCCAGATTTAGTGATCCTGAAAAGTTCCTATCCGGATCAGATTGATCCAATCCGATGTTGCTTTGAAAAACTGGCTCAAAAAGTAAGCTGGATTACGTGATCACGGATCGCAAAAACAGGATTACTAAATCTGGATCAATTTTATCCGGATTAAACCTTTTGAATAACCGGGCCCAGGGGTCACCAATTTTGTTCCTGGAGGTCCGATGCCCTGCAGGGTTTAGCTCCAACTTGCCTCAACACACCTGCTTGGGTGTTTCAACTATACCTAGTAAGACCTTGATTAGCTTGTTCAGGTGTGTTTGATTAGGGTTGGAGCTAAAATCTGCAGGACACCGGACCTCCAGGACCAAGTTTGGTGACCCCTGGATTAGATAATTAAAGGTGCAGTAGGGTTGACACCTAGTGGTTGAATTAGGTATTGCAGCTTAAATTTAAAATACTGAAGTTTGCTTTTTCACCCAGCCCCTCCTCTTCTTGCATGAACAAACAGGTTGCTAGATTGATGAAATTGAGAGTAACACCAGCTAGTAAAGTGCTGTGCAGGTAAACCTCAGTCCTCTGACCTCTAAAGGTGCTGTAGTGACAGTTGCTACCGACTCCCATGCAGAGAGTTACCCAAGTTGCCGGTTGGATCCTAGCTTGAAGCAGGTTGAGTGCTATAGGACTGGTTTGTTACATGAACATGCCTGAAGATTAGGCCTTGCACTGTTAGCTGCTCAGCTAATTTTTATGTTTGTAATATTTGAATTGTTTGCAAAATGAAAAACATCTTGTGGAGTTTTAAGACTCTAATGATGCATTCACACCAGACGTGGGTGATTTACAGCTTTAAAGGCAGCTAGCTCTCTGCAACATGGTCCCCCACTGAAGCCAAGCAGGGCTGCGCCTGGTCAATACCTGGATGGGCGACCACATGGGAAAACTTTTGGATGTGGTGTTAGTAAGGCCAGCAGGGGTGCTCAACCTGTGGTCTGTGTGGGTCCTAAAGCAGGTCGCACACCAGAAGCGCCGCTCGGCGGCGCGCCGCGCAGCGCCACGCAGCGCCATGTATTTTAGAATTCTAAACATAGGTTTCTATCAGGATACACACACCAGCGCCGCAAGTCGGCGGCTGTCGGCGGCGCCCGGCGACGGCTCAGGACGCAGTTCATTTTTCAGCCGCGCCACAGAGTGCCATCTGATTAGTTTCATGTTAAATATCATTCGAATGTGCGCGTCTGGTGTGTGATACTTTAATCTGTCATGTACGCGCCGTGTCGCGGCGCCGAGCGGCGCTTCTGGTGTGCGACCTGCTTAATGCCCTAGTATAGTGATGGGGACTCTATATTGCTCAGTAGGCGCCGCCTTTCGGATGAGACGTTAAACCAAGCTCCTGACTCTCTTTGGTCAATAAAATTCCCTGGTTGTCCTGCTAAAAAAAAGTAGGGGTTTAACCCCGGCATCCTGCCAAGTTTGCCTCCTAACCATTCCCATATAAAAACTGGTATTGGTCTCCTAATGCGTGATTCATGCAAATTGCTCGAGCTTAAAAATCTGATCCACATTAACCAATCAGGAGCTTGCTCTAGAAGCAGCCTTCATCTGATCTGATAGACCCAGAAATGGCTCCCATCGAGTGAGTCCATGCTATTTTTCAGTCTTCCATATCACATGAAGCACAGCTGACCTCTCAACAAAATCCATGTCAGCCATTTTGCAATGAAACATGAATTATTTTGTGTATGTTGTGAAGTAAATTTCATGCGCGACACCCTTTAATAATAATAATTATTATATTATATAGGAGGCCATGATGCCAGGGTTAAACCCTTACCGTACGTTCACACCGAAAGCGGCGAGAGCGTCCAAGGTCGCTCTGGCCGCCCTGGCGACAACGCTGTCTGCCTTCAGCTCCTGCGGCGAGAGCGTCAAAACTCGCTACATTGATCTCTTATTTAAAGGAGCCGTTGCAGCATATCAGTTACATTCCTGCATAAAACATGTTTCTAGCGTGAAAATGTTGCGCACTTCTTATCAAATTCATACAACAATGGAAGATCAAGTTGCGTGTGGCTTTGCTCTATTTATCCAATATGTGTCCATATGTCTGAAATATCCTGAAGCAGCAGTACTGTTTTGTACTATCACATCGCGTGAGATTCCCGCTTTTTTAAGATAAATTTATATAACATTAATGAACATCAGTAACTCGCCAGTAACTTATTAAATGTATGTTCCTGTAGGAAAAAAATGTAAATAATTGGAAATCCGGCGACCGCAATAATCAAACCCTTGGGAACAACTGTGGTCGGAACCAAAGTTCACAGGTCTGTGTTCTCTGAACTGCTATCAAGCGATGGACGTCTTCATTCTGATTGCTTGCCGCCGAACCGCGTCATAGCTCATTACCATAAAGTTGACTTCATTTCAACTCTCCTCGACGCTCACGCCGGCGAAGACGCGCCACGCTGCTCCTCGCCGCTTATCGCCGCGTATCGCCGCCGGCTCTCATTGAAAATGAATGACTTCCGGCTACTTTGACGCTCTCGCCGCTTTCGGTGTGAACGTACGGTTACTCTTTTTCGAAGGACATCCTGAAATGTTTAACCTGGGACCTCGGTTTAATGTCTTATCCGAAAGACAGCACCCACTGAGCAATGAAGAGTCCCCATCAGTATACTGGGGTATGAGGACCCACACAGACCGCAGGTTGAGCGCCCCCTGCTGGTCTTACTAACAACACTTCTGGCATAAATCTATGGCTTTCCCATGTGGCTCCCATCCAGGTAGCAGCCCTGCTTAGCTTCAGTGGGCTAAGAGGTGAGAGCTGCAGAGAGCTAGCTGCCGGCTGCAAGACTGCAATGAAACACTGCTTTTCACCAAGGCAATGGGAAAACAACAACAGATGTCAGCAGGGCCGGAGTGGGACTCCTTTTTAGCCCTGGAGTTTCAAGTCTTTGACCGGCCCATCTCAGTTCACGACTGACTATATTAAAATAAGGTCATTTCCAATTCAGTTTCTAATGACATTATCACATCTTTTTCAAGAAAACAGCTGCTTTAGAATTTTACATTTTCAACAACCCTAACAGTATTACATGTCTTAACAATAAAAATGAAGAAAAAAAATTATAATTGTTTAGATGAGGCTCGAACATGGGTCAGCGGTTTATTAACTCAACATGCTGACCGACCACTTGAGCACAGTAGCGCTGTTATGTTTGTGGGGCAGGAATGAAAAAGAAATATTGCACTATGACCTGCAAGACTCTTTTATTGACGGCTTAATCTTTTTCTCTCCTTTTTAGATTTCTGTCAGATTTATTAATGTAGTGAATCATCTGAGTTTCATTGAGCAGGTGTAATATTCATTAATATTAATTATTTGAATTCTTATATTTACTAAGGTGCCGCTGTTTAGGGTTGAATGATAATTACGTCATCACTAACCTGCAGGCTGCATTTTGCTCACGTGGCTACAAGAAAATAAATAAGAAGAGCCGAGCTGCGGCAAAATAATGAATAAAAAGAGTGAGGCTATGGTCAAAGAAATTAATAAATGAAAAAAGTGCAACTGCTGAGAGTGCAAGCAGCTAGGGACACTGGCCCTTGGGGCCGAAAAACAGACCGGCCCACCGGGAATTCTCCCGGTTCTCCCGATTAGCCAATCCGGGCCTGCATGTCAACATATAATTGGGGAAACTGGCAGTGGGTGAAATTACACAGACCAAAACAACGACAGACATTCTGACGTGGAAAGCACATTTTCAAAGGAGAATAACTTAACATTGTTAATCGGATAAACAAGCATGTTTACTTCACGTGTTTCTGAAATATCTGCAAACATGTTATGGTATTTTAATAATTAAGAAGAGTCAAAAACTTACAGCACCTGTCGATTTGATGACTTGTCTAGTTTTGGACTTTTGTTAGTTTGATGTCATTCACACACACACACACACACACACACACCCACACGCATGCACACACACACACACACGCACACACAAACACACACACACACACACACACACACATGCTTGTTTGGTGTTTATCAGTCGTTTTGTCTTGCAGTGGGTCTTGCTGGTAAAGTTCTTCTGTTCCCGTACGAGACAGACTTCAGCTACGTCAAACTCACTCCTAAGAAGCCTCTGGGTCTTTCAGCGTTTACTCTCTGCATGCGTGTGGCCACAGAGCTCCAGGGCGAGCGGCAGATCATCCTGTTCGCCTACCGAACACCCGACTTTGATGAACTGAATTTGTGGAGGGAGAAAGACGGCCGTGTGTCTTTCTACCTCAGCGGTGATGGGGCGTTTTTCAACCTGCCGCCTCTGTCCACCTTCCGGACGCACCTGTGCCTGTCCTGGAGCTCTCGCACCGGGCTCGCTGCCTTCTGGGTGGACGGACGCCGCAGTGCGTTTCAGCTTTATAAACCGGGCCACAGCATCCGCCCGCAGGGCACTGCTCTGCTTGGACAGGACCCTGATAAACTCCTGGGCGACTTCGAGACGGTGCAGAGTTTCGCCGGTGAACTCACAGACCTGAACATGTGGGATTATGTGCTCACCGGGAACCAGATTAAAGCGCTGTATTTCAACCATGCGCAGCGCGTGCCCAAGGCAAACGTGTTTGAGTGGAGCTCCATCGAGTATGAGATTAAGGGGAATGTGCTTGTCACGCAAGACGATTGATAATATTCAGTATGATACTACACGTATAACATTTACAGTTATTTTCTGCATAACACGTACTTTATAGTTCACCACTGTAATATGCACTGCATTGTGGGTCATTTTAAAACTTTTACAGTAACTTACTGCATATTAGGAACTTGCAGTATTCTACTGTAATGAAAATAATCTAAAAATAATAAGTACTGCGACTGTAGTTGAAGACTAAAATGAAAAGGTTGATTAAAATGTACTAAATTTAATAGTAAATACTAAGGGTGCTTTCACACCTACACTTTTGTTTCGGAACCTGTCTCGTTTGCCACGTTAGCGCGGTTCGTTGGCATATGTGAACAGGGCAATCGCGCTCTGTTTCGCGCCAAAGTAATCGCTCTGAAATTGCTTGAATGAGGTGGTCTCGGCTCGATTGAAAAGAACCCTGGAGCGGTTCGATTGCAGTGAGAAAGCGATCCGTTCCGAGCGCGGTTATATCACAGTGTTTTATGGATATGTAATAGGCTTACGGCTATATGAAGAGAGAATTATGAGTAGGGCGGGAAGTTTCGCGAGTCTCCGGATGCCCGCAAACGAGTGATGATCTCCCGGTAATCTCGCATCTCCCTCCCGGTCCTCAAATAGGCATCGTCGCGCACCCTTCTCACCGCGTCTCTCCTCAGACACGTCACGGGTGCACCCTGTCAATCACCACCAAATCACCACCTCTCTTGACAGTTTAGCTAAAACACGTGACTTGTTTTAGCTCTTTTGGTCCGATTAGAAACTTTGCAGTGTGAAAGCGAACCGCTACTAGAGCAAAGAGTAACAATGTAACAATTGTAATCTCTGTTTCGGAACAACTGAATCGATTCACAGGTGTGAAAGCACCCTAAAACAAAAGTTTTTGTACTGCTACAGGCCCGTAGCCAGGGGGGTTCGGGTGGTTCGAAAGGCCCACCCCTCACTGAGAAAGGTCTAGAATTGGTGCCCTATAGACGAATTACCATGTTGGTAAACATTCAGGATGCGCGCTCAGCGAGGTTGCAGAAAAAAACGAGAGCGCAAGCATTTACAGCGAGGGAATGACATCCGATGCAGTACAGAGTTTGTTGTTGTCTTAGAAATACGTTATTTACATAATGCTTTCAGCGTATTATAACAGCTCGTCACCCAGTGATAAGCACAGTGATTCAGCAAAATTAACGTTAAAGTGAGCGGCGTTCGTCTGACAGGTTCATTTGCGATAGCACCCTCCCAATGGGTATTGGATAAGATGAAATGGCCAAGCATCCAGGACTAAATATACAACTCTTTGAAGCTCCGAGTGTTCTAACAAGATGTGTGGTCATGTGCAAGAAATAATGTTCCATGATTACCAGATTCAAAACTTTGTAGTGCTAAAAAGCGAGGTTCTGCCTAGCCAAAGACAAGGAAAAAAGATGGAGCTAACGTTATACAAGGCTTGGGTGATGATCAAGCAAAGCTACTGCATTCTGACAGCGAACTACACCTGAATTTACACATAGAGGTGAAGTTGGAAATATTTGTCTTATATCTAAAAGAGGAAAACAGCTACTGTGTTAGTTTTAAAGGCGCAAACCAGAACAAATCGAGCACAAACGACCTGTGCTGTTTTGAAGTTATTTGCGCAACATGGGGTGGAAAGTGACGTCACACGGTCAAAAAAATAATGCTTAATATCTCAGACCCCAAACCAGCACAAACGTTCGTTTTTGCGGCACAAATCAGCACAAACGTATCACAAACGAATGGCATAGTTTGGGGGATTATTTGTTTTTATGGGGTGCCAACTTCACGGAGGTGTTTTATATTCGCACATTCAGACTTTCTCCTTAATAATATCATTTCATAAAAGTATTATTTGCAACCTCTGAATGGCGAAATCATAGTAGCAGCAAATGACTGTCAAAGCACAACACAAATAATATATCGGGATAAACAATATAGGGAGTTTAATAAACCATATGTAACTGTTTTTACTAAAGTAATTTCTGCAATCAAAAATGAGTAGTGTATGATTCAGCATAGTGTGAACTTACCTGATATAACATGAGAACTGCAGAGTCCAGCATTTCTAATTAGGTCCTCACTCCATTCAGCTCCCTTTTGGCCGAATACATCTGCAGTTGGCATTAAAAGCAGTGTGGTGTATGGTAAATGTTAAGGTAAATGTACACATTTGTACCTAAAAGGTCCATATTAATACCTCAGGGGAGCATACTAGTACCTAAAAAGTACAAAAGTGTTCCTTTTAAAATTTTTAGGTACTAATATATACTTTTGAGGTACCAATATGGACCCTTTAAGTACTAACATCTACCTTTTGAAAAGGTTCCACCCCAGTGACAGCTCGCGATTACATTTATTTCTGAGAGTGTAAAAAGAAGACTCAGTAAGGCTGTTTTACTGTAAAATGAAATTGCAGTAGGGCTCTGCTACTGTAAAACACATTTACTGGTAAGTTACTGTAGGGGGGCAGTTGCGGTAACTTGCTAGCAACGGTGCTGCCACTAAGTTGCCACAAAAATACTATATAATGTGTGACAGCCATTATTTTTTAATTCAGACGTCTGTAAAACTGTGTGTTGTGCAAAGACTGTCTTTAGTGAGCAGTTAAAAGCGGTAAGTGTGGAAGACTGCAAACATCCATTGGAAAATTTTTCCTGTAAGGTACAGTTGAAGTCAGAATTATTAGCCCCCCCTTTAATTTCTTTTCTTTTTTAAATATTTCCCAAATGATGTTTATCAGAGCAAAAAAATAAATAAATAAATAAATCACAGTATGTCTGATAATATTTTTTCTTCTGGAGAAAGTCTTATTTGTTTTATTTTGGCTAGAATAAAAGCAGTTTTTAATTTTTTAAACACCATTTTAAGGGCAATATTATTAGCCCCTTTCAGCTACAGTCTACAGAACAAACCATCATTATACAATAACTTGCCTAATTAACCTAGTTAAGCCTTTAAATGTCACTAAGCTGTATAGAAGTGTCTTGATAAATATCAAGTGAAATAGTATTTACTGTCATCATGGCAAAGATAAAATAAATGAGCTATTAGAAATGAGTTAATAAAACTATTATGTTTAGAAATGTGTTGAAAAAAATCTCTCCATTAAACAGAAATTGGGGGGGGAAATAAACGGGGCTAATAATTCAGGGGGGTTAATAATTCTGACTTTAACTGTATATTTGGGAAAGGTGATAATAATGTGATTATCAGGTATAAACAAATATAATAAGTAACTGATGGCTAATGTTTAAAAAAAACAACCACTTAAGATCATTAAATCATCACTGTAATGATATAAAATTGTGTTTTTTATGTTTTCTTTAACTGTAGTAATAGTATAGTAGCACTTTGGTGTTTTTGAACCATACATCTTATAGTGTATAGCATTTACAGCACTTTGCTAATGAATATTAACTCTAGTAAACTGACAAACAACACTGTAATATGCTTCAGCTTTTGCTACAGTAAACTGATGTATTGTGGTAATATACATAGACAGATGAAGTTAGTACAGTATTGTGTAATGTATTTATATTAGTAAAGCTGTTGCAGAATCACAACAGATTAAGTCAAGTATTTGTGTATGGTTTAAAATCATTTTTTTCATGCGAGTTTAACTTGTTTTAAATAAGGTAATACGAGATTTAAGAGTAATGTAATGTACAGTAAAATGATCTGTACTCTTCTGATTAAACATTTACAGTATATTTTGCATTATTCTGTGTATATATTACTGCTGCAGTACATCCATCTGACCACAAGAGCGCAGCATAATTACAAATGACATTAATTCATGCAGTAACAACTATTGACTAAAGCTGATTTCCTGCTTATTATCAAACTATTTCATCACTGTAACGAGACAATACAACCATAACTTAATGTTAAAACATCTATCATAACATTTTCAATATGTGTCTCTTTTTGGATTCCCGGAAGCTATAGAAATTAAAAATGTAAAGCAGGAAATATGTTAGGACCATTGCTTTTGTTTACATCCCTTAAAATGGTCTATACTGAAGAACTGGCAGATTTTAGGGGTTAAAGGGTCATATTAAAAAGAGTGAGAGAGTGTGTGTGTGCCCGTGCGTGCGTGCGTGTGCGTGTGTGTGCGCGTGTGTGGGCGTCCACAAATGCTCAAAATAATTCCTGATTTCTTATGATTAATACGATTATGATTAATTCAAGAATCAAAAACACTATTTTTTTGTTTGTTTTTAGTGCTCAAAAACACCAAATTACTACAGTATTTTTTGTTTTCATGTGGACTGCATGAGATGTTTAATCATTTTAAATATTCATGAGGACAATAATAATATTAGTATTTAGAATACGCAATGAAACAGGGGAAAGGCTTTGCTTCTTGACAATCCTGTGATGAAGTTTGAGAACAGCTGCTCTTCTCTGAGGCGTCGCTGAAATCTGCTTTATTTCCTCAGTCTGTCAGCAGGCTTTAAATAATGATGTGCTGGAGCAAGACTGATGAGATGCTACTGAGATGTTATTTCCATTTATAACATATTAGCTGCAGAACTAAGTGGCCTTGTTTATCAATGTTTAACACCATTTTTACACGTTTCTTTAGTATTTATGTTCGATGAAGCCTGCAAATGTGAAGATCTCCCTGCTACCACTAGATGGCGGTATATAAACGCGTTACGTATCATTTAAAGGTACAGCTCACCTAAAAATGAAACATTACTCACTATTTACTCACCTTGAAGTGGTTCCAACATTTATGTTTCTTCTGTTGAACACAAAAGGAGACATTCTGAAGAAGCTTGTAATCATTGACTTCTATAGTCGAACATATATAAATAATGAGGTGGTCAATGGTTGTCGCTTTTCAGCTTTCTTAAAACATCTTCGTTTGTGTTTAGCAGAAGACAGTCAAACAAGTTTGAAACAAAAGACAGTAAATAAGATTTTTTTGGGTGAACTATCCCTTTAACATTCAATCTATAACAAGTAAGCATCAGTTTTCTTGTAATTTTTCTATTGAGCTTCATTGTGATCAATAAGAATCAGAATCAGTTTTATTGCCAGGTGTGCTTCACACAACCAATCAATTTGTTTTGGCTACAGAAGCTTCCAGTGTACATAAAGTGACAAGTGACAACACAAAGTAAATATGAAAAGAAGATGATACACATTAAACAGAGATGCAGTTAGTCAAGAAATCTTGATGTTGAGTTGTATGTACAGATTTGTTATAAATATACAGGTTATACGGTGCTGTGTACAAATGCGAATGTAGAAAGTATTGCATTGTAGATTGATATAAGGTGCTTTGTTCAAG